CAGCTTTTTATAGCAGAGCTAGGAATAGAGCAAGCCCTTCTGATGCCATATTTCTATGATACTGCCTTTCTTTGCTTTTCAAGAACTAGCCAGGGAATGTGTGTGACAGAATACAGCAGTTACAGTATGGCTGCAGCTGTGATCACAAATCACTCCTGACCATATGCCAGTTTCAGATTGGTTTCCTCTGACCATCTCCTCTTTCGTGGACTTTGCATTTCATTACTTGTCCTTATAAAGTTTATCAGAATGATTCTTAAAATAGTACTTGCATCTATTATCTATCTATCATCTATCTATCATCTATCTATCTATCTATCTATCTATCTATCATCTATCTATCATCTATCTATCTATCTATCTATCATCTATCTATCTATCATCTATCTATCTATCTATCATCTATCTATCTATCTCTATCATCTATCCATCTATCATCTATCTCTATCTTTCATCTATCATCTATCTATGAATCCAATAAATTAATTTGTATGTTTGTTCACCTATAGCCCTATAATTCATGGCCTGGCTGTATATTTTCCCCTCCTGGAGCTCAAACTGCATTTCTGATAGTGGAAACGTGATTGGGCAGGTGGCAGTTGTTCTGGCCACTAGCCGTGTGTGATAAATTGCTCAGTAATCTCCACAGCAGCATTATGCATGCATTCAGAGTGTTTAGGGCACTGCAATGGGGAGAATTTCCCATCTTTCATAAATAACCATTAATCTAGCCTTTTTACATTCAGCCTTTCACATCTGTTTCAAATTGTTCAGTGCTGTTCCAGAAGTGCGTTAAAGCTCCAATCCAGGTAGTATTAAGGGGATAAATGAGCCACGGGGAAGAGACACTGTATTTTTCTTTAAGCAATTTGTTCTTCTTTTTACAAAGTTAGGAGCCAAGCAATTTATGATTAAGATTTTTGGAGGATATCCTCTGTCATTTTAAGCCTTTCTTGTCTGTGAGTTTAAAAATGCAGTTTTAGCTCTGGTATCCTGACATACATTGACTGTTTTCCTCTCTCCAAGTAGATTGCAGGTATTATTTCTACCAGCAAATCTAAAATAGTTTTAATTCATTATAATCCACCCTAGAGTCTTTTGGAGATAAATGAGAAATAGTTAAAACCTAAGGTCAGTTAGGAATAAATAAGTGCCTGACTATGCATTTATATTTGTGATATTCTGGAATTTCAGAGAGGGTTGTCACTAGTGTTATTTGGTATATTCTTTTACAGAAAAAATGCATTCCTGCTTTATGAATTATAATTTAATATTATTTTGCTTTATGTCAGATTCAGTTTCTTTAATGAGTTACAAAGGTGACTCTGTTCTCATCACATGCAGCCCATTACCTGTTTTTCCAAAGAAAACGTTTTAATAAAAACAACCCAACCTGCCGGGCATGGTGGCACATGCCTTTAATCCCAGCACTAGGGAGGCAGAGGCAGGCGGATCTCTGTGAGTTCGAGGCCAGCCTGCTCTACACAGTGAGTTCCAGGACAGCTGGGACTATAGGGAGACCCTGTCTCAAAAAGACCAAGAAAAAAAAACCCATAATGTTAAATGTACAAAAGTTCCACAACATGATATTAAGATACACTGGAGAATAAATGCATAGAAAGGCAGTACCATATGGTATATCCAGTGACATATAGGAAGAAACAGGAATGTTTGCAAGTTGACCTTGAAGATGTTAAGGGACTCAAAGAAGAAATATCAGACAAGAGGATAGGTCAAAGAATATTCCCTGTGCCTGGCATTTGTAATAGGCATAAAAAAGATGACAAGCTGATTATCTGACCTGGAATAGAATACTCACACAGGAATATAAAGAAGAAGGGAGTTCAGTTACATGTCTTTCATCAAGGTTAGTGAAAATCGCATAGAGGATCATCATGCTAAGTGCACTAAGTCATTGGCTCTGAAGATGGTTTATTTCATAATTACAGCCTGCTGTTCCATCCATGTGGAGGGACTGACAGCTGCTCCGCCCATTACTATTAATGAATTACCAACATGCATCCCACACACATCCACCAAGAAAGCAAAGACATCCCTCCTCTGCATGACTTTGTTTTGAATCCTGCAAATGTAGGATGGCTCTTTCCTTAATAAGTGGAAATCACTGAACATAGCATACATATATTGTTCCCCTAACTAAAAACTGATGTCTTAGAGGAATTGGAGAAGAGCTGTTACTTCGTCTGTTAAGTATCTCTAACCTCTCTGCCTTAAGGAACCCCTGTGGCCCATATGCAAATGAAATTGCCTGGCTAGGGATTTCATTAGAAGAAAGGTGGCAATGACCATGCCAATCTGCTCCATGAAATTTTCCCCTCCTGAAAGAGTGCCAATGCTGTCCTTGAAGTGAGGCAAAAAGAACAATATGATTGTTGATGTGATGGCTATATGAACTTAATTGCATCAAGACACGGAATAGTTCATATTCATATTTTTTATCCTGATGTAGCTATTAATTGCTAATCGTTTACTCTGAAGAGGTCCTAGTTTCTGTGGAAAGTTATGTTCATACACTTTAAGGCATTTCTTATTCAGTTTTGGTCCCTTCCTCAATCATCAGGATGATTTCAGTTCCCATCAGGCCTTTTCTATGGCCCCCTTCTTTTTCAAATGGAAGAATAAAAAAGTTCCAGTTCATATGCCTTCATAAATTATAAAATTCAATAGGTTTCTCTCCAGTCTTTGTGTCCTCATCACCTGTGTTTCTGTTGTGAGACATTTCACCATCCCCCACCCAAGAGGCATACCCTGCAACCCTCACTTTTTACATAAGATGACCTAAAAAGGTCAGGGAATGCCACTGAATGAATAACTTCATATAGACACATGCAGCATGGTGCCTTTTAGTGGCTTATGTAAAAATTAAGTGTGATATATTTTTTTGTTCAACTAAGCAAGGTGAAATCAAAGCAGTCATTGACATGAGACTACAGATTGAGAGATAGACACCTCAAGTCACAAACATTTATTGAGTCTCTGCTATTCATGCAACATTGGATTATACAGAAATGATTGTGACCTTGTGGCCACTCTCTAAGAACTCAAGATCCAGTGATGGTGATGACCATGTTGAATAATAATTACAAGTTCTGCTGAGTTTGTGCAGTGGCAAAGCAAGTTGGGTGTCCAATCTGGATCTGCCACTTGGAGAAAACTTTACAGAAGATGTGAGAGAGGAGGAGAGCTGAGAACTGAGTTTTAGAGGAGGAACATACTAACAGTATGAGGGCTCTGTGTCAACCTTGTTCTAAGAAAGTGGATGGTATTATCTTGACCATCATTCAGTCTCATAAAAATAACACTGCATGCCAGGGGTGGTGGTGCATGCCTTTAATCCCAGCACTTGGGAGGCAGAAGCAGGCAGATCTCTGTGAGATCAAGGCCAGCCTGGTCTACATAGCAAATCCCAGGCCAGCTGGGGCTACAGGGCTACTCTGTCTCAGAAAGCCAATTAACCAATCATTCAAAAACGCTGCTTCTTCTGAGTTCTGAATTCTATAGATTGAGACTTTTTGCTTTTCTTCTGGCAAAGAATGGAAGTTGATACTTCACTATTTTTATAAGAAACATAATTTTGTGATTTGTTATTATGTTATCTTCTAATATTGATTGAGAAAATCATTATAAAGCTCTCTGTCCTTTCTCTTACAAAATACGCATTTCTATTAGTGTGTTCTAACAGGTCATATTTTTATTTCTTTAAGAAATATCTCGTCTTCATTTTCATTAAGAGTTCTGTAAGGGTATGATTACCTTCAGCATCACAGTACACTTGTATATGAAGGTCTGTCTGGGTGGTAGTATGTGCCAAACGTCATTCTTACTTACCTGTACTTTCATGTCATCTTTCAATAAAAGTCCCCTCGGACACTCAACAAATATAGATGAGTAAAAGAAGCATGGCATTCTAGCCTTAATTCTTGTGCTGTGATCCCTACCAAATCCTTGAATCTTCCCTCCTGAAGATTTCTTCCTTCCTGCTGATCTTGAGACTAATGTCTCTAAATTTTGTCTTTTTCTGCATTTTCTCCCATGACAGACTTGTTTGTATGATGACTAAACCTCCTCTATATGACCTAGGTAATCTGCTTGGATAGGTTATGTAATCTGCTCCCACAATCATCCTTGACATATCTCCCAATCTTCACCTTCCCAAGTCCTCTCTGCCCATCTCTAGTTCAGAGGTAAGCCTCACAGATGCCAGGGAAATGTCTTCAACACCTATCCCTCCTCCACGTTTCTCTTTTCTTGCTATGGTACCAGCTCTTTAATGATATTCTAACCTCCAAACTCATACCCATCTCTAAGCCACTTTTCATGTTGGTGCAATCTAATTTTTCAAAAATACATGCTGTCTTTGGCAAAATACCATGAGCAATGTTAAAATTCAGATGTCATAGTTAGAGTGACTCTCTGCTACCCTTTAGTTTTGCTTTCGAGTGGTATCTTTTATGAGCCTTCTATTTGTATAGAGAGGCAGTGTAGCACCGTAGTTAGAATACCCAAGTTTGAATTCTGGTCCTGATATCTGTTAGCTCTGTCATCACAGGAAAATTCTTTATCTTGTCTAGTCCTCATTTTAATTGTCTATAAAATAGAGATGGTAGTTGGGTCCACCATTAAAGGCCATTTTAAGGATTAATAAAAACTCAGAATAGTGGATAGCATGCAGTAAGGGGTCTGTACGTGATCATCTTTACTGGAATCCCTTTCTACATAGCATTTAGAGATATGAAAGTGTCTAAATTAAATGGTACATTGAAAAGTGATTTTACAACCATAACCTGAAACCACGTGGAAAGTTTATTAGTTAGATAAAACTTTGCATTTGCTTCCCTTTCTCAGCTACAGTAAATTAAGGTTCAGGACTAGGTGCAATATGTAAGTAATCTTGAGGATCTGAAATTTGGTAACACTGTATAAGCAGCATTGTGGTGTTATTATTTTGTTCTCAGTACTGTTTTTTTTCCCTAACTTAGGGACGAAATTTAGCTTCAGGAGAAGTTGGATTTTTTCCAAGTGATGCTGTCAAACCTTCCCCATGTGTAAGTTCTGATATTTTATGTCTTATTTTATTTTGCTTTCAGTGCAATCAGTAGATGTGCAGGAAGATACAAAGATACTGTCTAGGTTGCTCATTAGTTTTATTGATATTTTCTACAAGGATAATATGTCCAGCATCATTGTGATTCTACTGTAGGGATATATTAGGAAAAGATATGCAAGGTGGGAGTTTAACTTAGAAGTAAGCCAGAGGCACAGATTAGATTTGTTGAACAAGTTTCTTCCCAAGGGGAAATGGTATTCCTGATCACTAGACTTACAGGAAGTCATTTCACTTCAGTGTGTCCTTGAAAATATGATAGAAAATGACAAATCTACAAATTCTTCAACTAGATTTCCCAAATATGTTTTCTGAGCTTTAGAATGTCATTCTTGTTTATTTAATATCACAATGAAATTTTGTGAAAAAACAATGAGAACAGATGAATATTACTCAGATAATACAGGTTAATATAATGTATTCTCTGATACTTTACAATATGGGTTCATTTCTGTGTGGAATTATATTATTTTAACATCATAGTTTTTCTACATTATTTTAAGTTAGTGCAAAGTAAATGAAAACTTTTTACTAATATGAAATACATATGATTACTTGAGAAATATTCTCAAAATTCTCATTAAATTATCTTTCTTGCTACATTTCCGAAGTTTATATATTTCTCAAGTTGACGTTCTTTTTGATATTACAAATGTAAATATCTGCTACCCTTAATTTGAGAATAAATGCTTATACCACTTATCTGAGTTTAATTGTTTTAAAAGCAATAAGAATAAAAACAATATTTGCTGATTTATTGATTACAGATAGGAAGGCTGAATTTCACTTTTTACAAATGTAAGCAGCAATGTTTATATAGAAAAGTGGCTAGAGATTTGAACATTCAGATATTTTGGAACCTGAATAAGCATTTAATATACAGAGCATAATTTTTCTGTTTACAGTCTTTTGAACACAGCATAAAATGAACTTTAGAAGTTTTATTTCAGAAATAGTCTGACACAAAGTAGGTGTTTGAATTTCTTGAAGGAAGGAACAGAGGGATGAAAAAGCAACTGTGAAACCCCAACTGAACACAGACAATGAGCTACTGACAACAGATTCTAGAATCTCACTGCAAATGACTAGGAGGAGAAATGTGTTCAAGGCATTTTAAGATAATAAAGAGTCATAGAGTAACATAATTATGAGGAAAATAACCAGGTAAATATGAATGCTTTTATAGTTTAAAGATAACAAATGACTATTAAAACGAATGCTTACTTAATGAAATTATGTATTTGCTAGTTATAGAGCAAGCTAAATGAAAGTCAATAGACAGAGAAAAGACTGAAGTGAGAGGAAGGTTGGATGAGTTTGAAAACTGTATCCCTTTGGCCCTAGGATATGTTGTTTACCAGGGTCCCTGAATAGTACTGTGTTCTACTCTGAACTTAAAATTTATTTCCTGCATTTGCTCTTCCTGTCTCCTCAAGACTTCCTAGGCATACAGGTAGGAACTTAAAGATGTACATAAATGAGATAGTTTCATTTCTGGAAGAATAGTGACTGGAAACATAGCCAGGAGCTACAATAGAGTTCAAACATAGATAGTTCTATGGACCCAGCAGCTGTCAGTGTATGAACTAGTAAAACTCCAACACCTGACAGAAGAGATATTCTTTTAGGTCATGGCTCTGGGTAGACAGAAAAAAAGGCAGAGAACAATCTCTCTTGATAATTTCTAAACTTAACTGTAAAAATATTTCATGCATAAGGGCAGAATTCATATCAGCTCTATGATTAAGTAATTTTTTTAAAAATTTCTTTATTTTTTAGAAGAGGCATTTCTTTACAGCTTTAACATACTCAATAACAATTTCTAGAGCAAAGAGAAATATAATTTAAAGTGACTCAACATTGGTGGTTCACCTTGTGAAAATACAAATTCCGTTTGGTTTTGAGGCTTTTCACAGTCTTTCAAAGGGTTGCAACAGATCAAGTTCTAGGGAATATAAATTCATCAGTTGAATCATTGACTTCATAAGGAAACATACCACCCTAAGCTAAGATTAGCAGAAAAAGTGTAGAAATCACTGCACAAATCAGATTGGGAATGACAAGATGCTAAATTCTAAATTTAATATGGATAAAAAATAAAAAGGAGAACAAATAAGAGGATACTATAACATTCTGCAATCGTCTGGGCTTATTATAAAAGACCCAGATCTAGTCATTGAAGTGAAGGCTTTAATGGATGCATTATATGCGTACCAGACACAGTTTAGTAGAAAACTGGAAGAAAAATTTGAAGAAGTTTCTGAAAATAGTCCAGAGACATTAGGAAATGGAAACTAAATCAGAGAATGACATGATAAGATTCAAATGTATCAAATAAAAGAGATTAAAGATAATTGTGGAGAGGCAATATTCAAATAAGTCATGGCTGAGAACTTTCCAGAATTTATGATCAAACTAATTTTAAAAATCAAGATAAGTATTTTAAAATTAATCAACAACTAGATATATTTTAATGAAACTTCAGGATATTGGAGATGACATATTAAACCCAACCAAGAGCAAAGACAAGTGCCTTTAAAAATGGTTGATAATTAGATCCATCTCTAACAGCCGCTATAATGGAGCAACAAGGGCTTCCCACTCTGATACCTGGTCACTTGCTGTTGTTCTCTTAGTTTCCAGACAACAAACATAAGATGTGGACAAAACACTGAAAGCTTAACAACATGACAGCATATTAATTCTATCATCAATGCACAAAGAAACAGAGAAACACAAACCACATCCAGAAGTAAGCTGTTAGAACTGTGCTCAGGAACACAAAGAAAAAATGTTCATAAAGAATGAGTAGATAAGAAACCTCAACAAAGGCATCGTAACTGCTTTAGAGAAACAACTGGATGGAGGTTATAGAACATGAAACTTCAATGCCTGAAACAAGGCTGGAGAGATGACTCGGTGGTTAAAAGTACCAACTGCTCTTTCAGAGGATCCGGTTTCAATTTCTAGCACCCCCATGGTGACTAATAACTGTCTGTAACTCCAGTTCTGACTTCCACAGGCATTGCATGACATAGGCATTTCACGACATGGGTACACTTACACAATACATTCATACACATAAGATAAAACAGATAATAAAATAAATAAACATATAAATACCTAAATCAATAAAAATAATATGTTCACATTTTAAGAGAAAATTACTAACAGCTTATAAATTTAATGCCTAACTCATTATAGTTCTAGTTTAACAAACACAGAGAAAGTTTACTTCTAACTGCCCCATCTAACTTTAAATAGGATATATTTCAAGAAGGATGTATTGCACATACACATATTTTAAATATCATGCTATATTCCCAATAAATTGCTAATAAGCCTACTTGTGCATAGCAGAACTTTAACAATGTACAGTGTCTATGGCGAAGGCATAAAATGACATTAGAGGACTACAGTAGCTACAGACTCAAAAATGAAAGTTTGCGCAGAAGGAAATTATCTATAAATATGATGTAATAAAGTGTCTGTTAAGACAAAATCTTAAAGTGATGAGAGAAATTAGGAGGGGCATTGCAGATGGGAAAAGTTAGGACCCCACCCTGGTTATAAGCATCTTAGATGAGAGAGTTGTTCTCCTGGCTAGTTTTGTTTTTATTGTCAAATTGACACAACCTAGAGTCAATTGGAAAGAGGGAGCCTCGATGGATGATTTTTCCAGATCAGATTGGCATATGTCTATGCCTGTGAGAAATTGTCTTGATTGATAATTGATGTGGGAGGACCCAGCCCCCTGTGGACTGTTAAGAAAGCTAACTGAGCATGAACCCATGAACCCTTGAGCCCATCAATAAGCAGCATTCAGCCATGGTTTCTGCATCCCCCACCCCTGGCCCCGTGAGGTATTATGACCTGGAAGTGTGAGCCAAACACTTTCCTTCTCTGAATTGCTTTTGGTGAGAGTTCTTTTCTTTCTTTTTTTTTTTTTTGATCACAGCAACAGAAAGCAAGCTAGAATAGCAGTCCTAGATCTTGAATATCAGAACATACCCACTGAAGAGGCAAAGGGGAATTTCATAATGGAGTAGCCCCAGCTATATGTTCTGTGTGAAATGACATTACTCTGCACTTCTCAAATATCCATCCTCTGCTCATGGACTTTACAGCCAAAAAGTCCACAAGCAGAATATGTTGACATTCTTTACCATATGCCTCTCTTCCTTCTTGGTCTCTCTTACCCAACATTAAAAGCTCAGGAACACCATGGGCTATGGACTATGTTTATCAAAGAGTTGACTGATTCATGAAGATATTATAATCACAAGACAGACTGTCTGTATTCCGTTTTTTTCTCAAGAGTTTACAAATTGCCGGCCTTTCTGTGCTCTGCGTCACATTTATTGTTTTATGGCTATCAGTAAGCCTTCTTTGGCTTTGTTCATTTTCTGGTTGCCACCAGCAACTAGAAGCTGCTTGCTTTTTTTACATAGGAAATCCACCATTTTTGACTTGGGTAAGTCTGTGTGAGAGAATGAAAAGTTGATGTTTTCCATGATGTTTTCTTGAATAAAATGTTTTCTCCTTGGCCTATTTTAATGTCAGAGTTTAGAATTTGTGTTACAAAGTAGAGTCTACATCGAGTGTATACTGTTTATTTTGTATGTTTTTCCCCAGTGTCTTAGGCAAAGGAGGTGCTGTTTGGTTTCTTTAATAACATTTTCATTTAACTTTCTGTGATAGGATTAAATTGCCTCGATAGTAAATATTCAAAGTTTCTAGTTCTTATTTTTCTGCTATCTCTCCCCTTGAAGGTAAAATGAATGAAAGAATGAATTAGAAGGAAATGATGATTTTCTACTTATCTGACATACACCATGATTCGTTCTCTATAAAATTGCCAATGGCTAGTTCTAGGACTGTGCTTAAGGGGTTATAGAGCTGAGTCAGCTGAACTGAATTAATGATTGATTTCTAAACGCTCCCTTAAGTAAACTTAATCTATTTTTGCCTTTTTATATCCTAGGTGCCTAAACCAGTAGATTATTCTTGCCAACCCTGGTAAGTATTAAAAATGTCTATGTAGCTAAGTTGAAATACCATACTCTTACCTCGAGGATACCTTAAATGTAGCGTTGTAAACTGTGTTCCATTTCCATTTGTCTGGGCTAATGGTGTTTTCATACGTAACAAAACACCATAATGAATGTGCATATTGCTGACCATTCAGTAACATTATCAGAGAGTGGTGTATGTATGTGCATACATGCGAATGAACTTGACCATGAATGTTTATAACAGCCACAGAAAGAAATGGGATGTATGCTGATCTGCATCTTGTAGTTTCAAAAGGTACTCATGAAGCAGAGAGGAAAATCCATGATTGTAGTATCTAAAACTAAGAATTAGCTCTAAAAAGATAGTATATAAAACTAAAATTTCCAACATGAAATGTGGAAGTAATAAGATATATCCAAGTCTGATTTGGATATAGATGGAACATACTTACCACTGAGGTGTTCTTTGCAGAGTCAAAGATGTGAGTGGGCAGGTTTATTAGTTTTTAGATATCTTCAACTTAAACTGACAGCAATGGTGTCGGCATGCACAAGACCCATGCAAATTCAATCAGACAAAAACCAGCATAGAACTGGGGAAATGGGCAGGAGGCCACAATTTTGGTGAGGGACTATTGGCAGCTGATCACCCCTGGGTGAGGGAGAGTTGATCTTCTTTAAAAGAGAGATTCCAGACAGGGTGAACAGGCTTCAGTGGATGAACTCACGCTACGGGACATCTGCGTACACAAACTTGACTTGATAGACCTTAACAAATATGACAAAATGCATGAAATTCTGTGAGCAGGCCTTGGGAGTTTGCAGATAGAGAAAAGGGGAATAAATATGATTAAGATGTACTGAATAAAATCCACAAAAATTCAATAATGTATAAATATATATAAAATACAAATATATATACATTCAATTATATGTATTTGGGGACTAGAATAGGCTCTTCATCATAACTAATACTGAGCATTTACTATATTTAACACTTTACATGTTTTATTTTATTTTGTTGTCCAACATTCATGTAAGGAAGGTGGGATGACTGTCAGTATTGTGACAGAGGAAGAAATAAAGGCGAAAGCCATGTAAATCAGCAGTAGTGGCAATACCACAGGCGAGGCCATTTGTGCGTCGCTATCTTGTCCCTCAAATACAATACCTGAGTGTTTTACTGGTTTGTATTGTTTCCCTGAATTTGTTTTTGACTCTTCTGAACATTTCTTTCTGTCTCTCTTCTTTTCCCTAATATTACAATATATACATCTAGATGGGAGGTCATCCTAATACATATTCAGACATTATATCATGAGACCACCTAACACTACTTCATTTGCAGATGTGGATAGTACCTGATATATTTTTTAATATTCTGATTACTTTCTGTTGTACAGAGAAGTGTAAGTGCCAGGATACTTTTCAGTATGTGGGCCTTTCCTCAGACATCCGGCTGCCTCTCAGCAGTCTGGTCTGCCTTCCTTGTTATTATCTCCCCTCTCTGCCGTACGCCTCTGAGTCTGGGTACTGAGCTTGCCAAAGAAATCACAGCGTGTGTGTGACAGAGCTGGGATATTTGCTGCATTTTAACTTCATTAAGGACAATTTCCAAATTTTCGTTTCTGTGGAACTTAGAACCATATTCCTAAAGGAAATAAAGTTTTTCATGCAACTAGACCTTATAGTTATAAGGCTAATAATTTTAGAAGTAAATACTAAAGTCACAAGCCACATATATTTTATTAAATACCCTGGGCAGGTACTTGGGAACTATTCAGGGTACAAGCGGGTGAGTAGTTTTGTGCCCATTTTTTAAAATGTACCCCTGCCGCTTTGTAAAAATTCTGTCAAAAATATGACTGGTTAGAACAGCATTGCTCCCAATGATAAGATGCCAAGACAGTTGGGTATTGTGCCACACTCTTTATATCCCAGCACTTGGTAGGAGCAGAGGCAGGCGGATCTCTGTGAGATCCAGGCCAGTCTGATCTACATAGCAAGTTCCAGACTAGCTGAGTCTAAAAGGAGATCCTGTCGGGGGAAAAAAAAAATGCCAAGACAAAGAAAAAGACTTTAAAATAAGAAGTAATAGGGATATTTTAGGGTAGAATTTTAAAATTACATATTCCTTTCTTGAGTAACCTGGACAGTTCATTCCAACTCAGTAGGCAGTTTCATGTGGCATGTCTGCAGCTAGAGAGGAAAATGATCAATTAACAGGGAAACTTATATTTTAGAAGTCCAAGAAGCTGGACATCACTTATTTTTTATGAAATAAGATAGAAAATCAAAATGACTACTTTCAGTATTCCATGTTTTGTGGTATAGAAGGCAGGGATGAGGTTATGGGGCTGGATTCGTGGAAGCTCTTTGAAAATCTGAACGTGGTGGATGCCAAGGTCCCTACGGCTTTCTCCCAGGAGTTAGATAACTTTGCCAGGAGACGATGTCATTAGAATGTGTGCTACATGGAAAATCAAAACCATACCTGGCTTGGAAAGGCCAAGCTTAGCAGAGATTGGGGAGATGCCATTCTGAAAATGACTTAAATTAGGGAAAGGCTGTGACAATCCCTATGTCCTTTGTATAGCTCAGGTCTGGCACTGGGAAAGGGTCTCTCAAACAGTACCCTCTCCTTGAATCCAGATATGAATTTGGAGAACTTGATAGCAACTAAGCAAACTTAGAAAAAAATTTAAATCTTAACACTTGGATGTTGCCCAGCCCAATCATCAGCTTTTGCACATGAGAAGATTTCTTCCCAATGGCTTATCTTTGGGACTGCACATACAGGACCCTCCATCACTCTTAGATGCTGCTTTCTTAAATCCAAACAAAGAGTTAAGATAAATGACATTTGAGAAAAGCTTTGAGCTATGAAAGAAATATTTTGTAAGAGGAGCAATCTAAGAATGAGAAATGTTTATAAATCTGTGAGATTTGAAAAATAAAGTTGAGAAAAATCTTCCAAAAAGTCAAAAAAGGGGTAGTATGGGAGAAAGTTTTTAAAATTAGCTAATCGACATAAAACTACTACATTCAACTAGTAGTAATTCCAGAAAGAAAAAAAAAGTACCCAAAGGCATCAATAATCAAAGAAAAAAAATTTCCCCAAACTAAATTACAATTTTGAAGATGCTGCTGAAAGCTTAGGACAGTATAAGAAAGGACGTTGTTTTTTCATTGTAGAGAATACAAAAATCTGAAAGTTTCCAAGGAGGAAAATATCAGGTCATAGCCAATGAGTCCAAAATCAGAATTAAATCAATTGGAAGTTAAAAGACAATGACTCAAAATCATTTAATATTAACAGGCAAAATAATTCCTCATCTGGAATTCTACACCCAACCAAACTTAACACTATGCATTGGGTAAAATAAAACACTTTCATGAATATTGGCCTTTAGAATATTACACCTTGTATTCATTCATAGGAGACCTGAAGATCAATTGTAAATCAAGTAAGAGGAAGATGCAGAATCCTAGAAAAGGAGCCAGCAGGCTTAGAGAGCAGGCAGAATGAATTAGTCCAGGTTAGGGGGAACTCAGAAGGCAATATTGAGTATAAAAAGTAACTAAAATGATGTTGGAAAACATATTGTTAAGGAGTTTATTTGAAGACCATGCAAAGGACTATGATAGAGGATAAACAGCTTGAGCAAACAAACTATTTAGCTTTACTGTATACAGAGGAAGTATTTTTTAACTCCTCCCCTGCTGAATCTGGACCTGTTGGTGACTTCGGTTTGCAAAGGTTACACAGAGTCAAGAATGAAAATCTTTGCAATGACAGAGTGAGCATGTGTCAGGGGAAAAATAACTTTCCTCCTTATGCCTAAAATTGATAAATTAGTAAATTATAACATAAGTGCAATTATCTAAATTAAAATATTTGGGTAGAAATGGAGAAGACTCACAGCTTGAAGTAGAATGCTGCTTTTCCATGGTGGTGCAGGTTGCCTCTTAATGTTTTAATTACTTCGACACTCATATATGTACAGTACTTGTGATGTTTGCCATGGCAATAGGGATACTGCAATCAGAATACTGCAGTGGAAGCTGGAGATGCAGGACAGTTTTAAGGTGATCAAGAAGATGCTCTGAACCTGAATGATGCTCCTGATAGGAGTGTGTATCCAGACAAGAGTTTGGTCTATGAGAGGACCTTGCAATCAAAAGGAGTTTTTTGATGGATTGCCGAATCCAGAAGGCTGGAGAGCAGGGATGCAGGGGGGTTGGTATGGGATAAGATTGAAGAAGAAGAAGGCATGAGACAGACTGTGATAGAGCTTCATAGATCCTGAGTTAGTATAACTTCTTTTAATTTAAAGTGCCATTTGCATAAAATGCCCTTCGGATCCCTTTTCACTTGACACGAATCTAACAGCACCTTGTTCAACAAGCTTTTGTTAAATATCTGCTACGTACATTTAAAATGAGTTAGAGGTTTCTACTAAGTTATATGAATCTATAACTGAATCAGATAATTTTCTGGAATATTAATTGGTGAATATCTTTGAAAAGAACTAGCCCAAATATAACTTTTTTCCTTTAGCCTAAACTGAACCAGAAATTTGCTGTATCTTGCCAGTGAATGTTATGCCTATATTAGATGTGTGTGTGTGGGGGGGGTCATTCAAGAATAAGTTAATCTTGAGTTTGAGTATTTTATTATGATGGTTATTATTATGGAACTGAATATGCTTAAAGCCCATATGGCTAGGAAAATTATGAACTCTGGTTTTGAAAAATATCTACCTTTTAAAAACAATATCTTCATTGCTGCTAATTTCTTTGGAAAGTGATTATCAAAAATGTGAACTAAAAATCTGACATCTAAATTGTAATTATTTTAAAGTAATTTAAATTGTTGTTAGGATTTTTCTTTTTGTTCTGTTTTGGTGTGGTTTCATTTATGAGAGACAGGTCTCCCTATAGCCAGAGCTGACCTGCAACTGGCTTCAGTCTCACAGAGAGCTATCTGCCTCTGCCTCTCAAGTGCTGGGATTAAAGGCGTGTACTTCCATGCCTGGCTAGAATTTCTCTTAAAAGATGCTCAAAAGAGATTTGATAGTGTACACGGGAAAGGTGAAGTCTGTGTGTGTGTGTGTGTGTGTGTGTGTGTGTGTGTGTGTGTGTGTGTGTGAAAGAGGTGGGAGGGTAAGGCAGTCCCTCCCCCTTCCTACTTGTGCCTGAACTTCTCACAACTGACTTGACTATCTTTCTGATCTAATACCTACTTACTCTTCTCTTTGATTTTGTCCCTTGTATATATTTAATAAATATTTCATGGCACTTACTGGGTCTTGGGCTGTTGTTAATCTCCTAAAACATTTGTATTTGGACATATCAAAGAGATTTTCTGAGTTATTATTTGAACCAGTATAATAAATACACAAATAAAACCAGCTCAGACAAGTCACTAAATAAATGTCATTATAGATTCTTATATTTAGCCTTTGTTTTTCAAATGCATTCATCCAAGTTTTCTCTGTTACTGTCTTTTTTACAGGTATGCTGGCGCAATGGAAAGATTGCAAGCAGAAACTGAACTTATCAATAGGGTAAATAGTACTTACCTTGTGAGGCACAGGACCAAAGAGTCGGGAGAATATGCAATTAGCATTAAGTAAGTAGGCCAAATGCTTTTATAGAAATAGATTTCCTGTGTTCATAACTGCCTAGACCGTGTGGTGTGTATAACACTGAAGTTGAAAACTAAGGTTCTAATTGCAGTAGAAATAATGCATTTATCCAGACAGTTCATTAATACTTGAAAATATCTGTGAGAAAATGGTAATGAGTGTTATAGGCTGCTAATTGGGATAATAGATTTCTTTCATAACATATTTTGTTGACTTGATGTGTGTATTTCGAGTAAATTCTCAGAGTACAAATTACTAGATTTTGTCTTATTTTTTTTCTGTATTTTCAAACTGAACTTACTAAGTAAATTAAGCATAATGATTAGTCAAATCCATCTCCCTGTTCACTTTGAATATTGGTTGCATCTTCAACCAATCTAATAAATACATTTTGTTAATTAGCTGTCACCATTGTATTGGCATAGGTATATATTTTGTCTTCAGAATTAATTCCTATTACGTTATTGGGGCATGCCCTCTGGTAATTATTGACTTCTACTGATTAAAAATACATTTATATTCACAAGTTATTCATTGCCCACAGGTACAATAATGAAGCAAAGCACATCAAGATTTTAACAAGAGATGGCTTTTTTCACATTGCAGAAAATAGAAAATTTAAAAGTTTAATGGTAAGCATTGATTATTTCTTTTCGATCTATAATCCCTATCTTTCCATTCTTATGTTAGTTTCTTTATATTGTTTCTTAGCAGTGTTACCCACTGAAAATTATCTAAGGAGAATAGTGTAATTTTTGGCAGAATCCAAACAATTTTTAGTTGAAGAAGTCTAGTTAAGTTTTCAAGTGCTCAGATTGTACCACTCATTGTTAACTAGGCTTGCAGGTTTTAGATAAGGTTTTGGAGTGTACACTATTTATGACTCTTACAGCAATGACAAATTCGAGAGTCAACTTTCAGTGATTTGTGTGGATTTTAGAATGCGTCTGAAATTTTTAATCTGCCTTTCCTCTTTCGTCCTCTGTCTCTTCACATAGCCATTTTGTGTCATCACTAATTACAGCACAAAGTGTTTTAATAAAACACCTCTCCCATTTAGGTTCCTTTCATACAAATGCAATATAAAGTCAATTGAAGTTTTGTTGGTGTTTTCTGTTATTCTAAGTTGTCTGTGCAGTGGTTCTCATTCATTACCATAGAAAAGTAAGCAATTATAAGTTTTGCCACATACAATAACACATATTACATAGCAGCCATGTATTGTTATCAGGTTGTAGTGATTACTTAGAGACACATGCCTGTGGTTTTATGTTTGTTTTTCTTTGTTCTACATATTTGAAGCTCTTTTCTAGGGCAGAACAAACCAAAATGATTCAAAAGAGGTGATTAACAATTGACTTCAAAGTGCAGTGAAACTAAAAGAAAAGAAATCAGCAGAAAGATATAATTGTGTAAAGAATGAAAAGAAGTCAAGGATCTGGAAAACTGCAGGTCAAGCAAAGGCCCTTTACTGTGTTTAGCAAATAACTAAAAATCCCTGAAGAGGCCACTGAGCTAGCTGGAGCTACCTCTTCCTGTTGTTCATTTGTTGAACAAATTTAGATTAAGTCTCATAAGAGTCAATCACAGTGGTTTTAAGACACTTGAAAAGAACACCCAACTGATCTAAAACAGCTCACAGAGTAAATATGTATATGTCAGACACCTCGCAATAGTGCTGTTTTTTAGACCTAAGTTAGGAAATGGTATATGGATACTTGTTGAGAAGAAGTGGCTCGTATGTCCCTTTAGAAGATGAGAGAAGGTTTCAAAGTACAGGGGACTTCTTAAAATAAAGGTCATACAATCTCTAGCAGATACCTTTGGTGATGTTGTGACACAGGGCACAGTTCTCCATGCAAGTCAGTGGCAGTGTATAAATTTGAGTTGTTTCTAGGAGCAATAAACTCCTATCACAATAAGCATGGGATTAAATTTTTGTCAGGAAAGAATATAAAACACAAGCAAATTTCCAAACTTATTTTAAAATAGGCAGTGTCTCAAAGACAAGGCTATATATGATGCTTGAGATCAAAACTTCCCTTGGGTTTCAATAGGTTGGTTAATCAAAATCTTTGTTTTTTTTTAGTCATTAAATTCCAATCCTAAATGAATTTCTGATTCCTGATTATAGGGCATTAATTTTATGCTGATTTTCTCATATGCCAGACAAGCCATGCCCGAATTGTATTTGTGAGGCACCTCCCTTGCCTGTTTCCTTGGTAATTGCAAAGGCTGGCCAGCACTCATTATTTTTCAGAGTTGAATTGTTGACACCACTGTGTCACTGTGAGATAAGGAAAGCCTCAAAATTTCTTTTGTTCAGAGTCATCTTATTTACTTGTTGTACCTGAAGGTCAATGACTGTTAACGCAGGGTGGATTAGACTAAACACAGAAGGCATAAAGCCATGAATTGGAAAAGATCCACAGTTGCAATATTTAATTCTACTCAGAAACGTGTTGGAAGATTTACCTTCCTGAGACCATAAAAATGGAACTAAAATATCTTTCACGCTTAGTGGGGTATTGAATATTTTTTGCCGGTTACTAAGTTGCATGACCCTAGGTGTTGGGAAGGTCTGTTTCTCCTTTAAAATGCTGGGCTAGGGTAAGTATTAAATGGTCACCAAATACATTTTCAGTTCAACAATTCAATAGTTTCTAACCAACTTCACATTAACATTAGTTAATAATGATATACAACAAAATTTATAAAATTCATATTACTTCCCATGAAAGTAAATTGAAGTTTAAATCTTTTGGCATATATAATTCCTCTCAGGTTTATTTTCACTGCCAGAGAAAATAATGTATCTTACTCTATTGAAATGTCAAGACTAAAAGAATAGCTCCTTTGTATCATTATTATCAGTGGCCAATATGTATGCATAAGGCATAAGTTTTATTTATAAATTTTTTTTTGTCTTTTTGAGACACAGTCTCCCTGTAGCCCCAGCTTTCCTGGAACTCAAAATGAGCATAGTTATCACTAAGCATAATTTAACTGTTGCATGGAATAATGACACCTCCCATAATTATTCACACACACCAGGCACTATCTGTGTGAAATAGTTTGTGACCTTCATCTTCAAGATGTGGGAATTGATGTACAAAATCACCATTTACTTTATCCAATGATTTAGATAAAACCATTCCCCTTTTCTTTATTAAGGTGATTTGTAAGTGTGTGTGTTCATGAAAATGTGTGTGTGTGTGTGTGTGTGTGTGTGTGTGTGTGTGTGTGTTATGCACAGGTGCACAGAAGCAGAGACCAGAGGAAGATATCAGGACTCCTACTTTACCATTCTGTACCCTATCCTCTCACAGACCCTGGAGCTAGGCTGGCAGCCAGCAAGCTCCAGTGATCTTCCTCTTTCCCCCACCTACAGAGTTACAGATAAAAATGCAGTCACATCCTGCTTTTCATATGGGTACCTGGGATTTGAACTTGTCTTCATCCTCATGTTTGTGCAGCAAATGAAGAAATGAGCTGCTTTTCCACTATGTTTTAAAGGTGCTATATTAGGTGCACTGAAAAATCTATTTAAACAGATTTGATTTTTATTTTCACTCCAGTTATTTATTATACATTTTATATCTGAATAGTTATCCTATGATAAGATGTATTTTTCCATTGTGAATTAGTACTCAATTTCAGTCTATAGTAGAGGGACTCAGATTTGTGCAGGATCTGAAGCCTACACAAGAAAAAGATTTTTCTGAAGATTTAGTTTGAAAGAGTGTGTATGTCTATAATAACATTAGGCATGGAGGTATTTAAAGCAAGTTATCTATAAACAACAATTAGAAAGAGCCACCTTATTGACCTCTGTGAATGCCAGGTGATGAGCAGAGCCGTGATGGGCACTAACACTTTATTATAAGCCAGGCACAATGCTAAGCAATGTCCATACTTTATCAACTTCTGTTTATCCTGGGAAAGCACATTTAGTATTGTTTGTTTTTCTACCACATTGAAAGAAAATGGAGGAAACTAGAGCTTGCTGTATATTCAAGCAACCAGCTGTTCCTTTTATTTTTCTTTAGAAAGACAAAAATTTCACAAATAGCAGCAATAATTACTGTTCTAAGATTGAGGTTTAGCGTGGCTTCTTTTCAGTACCACATCTGACTGATGACTAACAGGATGTTGCATATTCCTGAAAACAATAGAGGGTCACTCACATGGATGACTATCCTGAACAACCAGAACAGAGTTGAGGTAGGTGTCAGGTATACCCAGACTGCAGAGAGAGAGAAAGGAGAGTGAGACAGTGCAGAGAGAGAGGCAGAGAGAGCACTCTTTCATATATTTGGAAATTTTATCATTGAATTAATTATCCTTTATTGTGTATAATTATGTACTAAGGATTTTATGTATTTAAGAACTAAAGTATCAAAAATTATCTTTAATCATTTCTTTTAAAGGAACTTGTGGAGTATTACAAGCACCATTCTCTTAAAGAAGGGTTCAGGACTCTAGACACAACTCTGCAATTTCCATACAAAGAGCCAGAACATTCAGCTGGACAGAGGGGTAATAGAGCGGGCAACAGCTGTGAGTATTGTAATTGAGAATACGATTTGCTGTCACTTAAGGGTTGGAGGCAAAATAACATTAAACATCTTCATTCCAAACTTTGAAATATAGCCAATTAATATGCTAATGCATTGACCAAAAGCATTTTTTCTGGAGCTAAGTAGAATCAGAGGGGCCAACAGGTTTATGAATGTGTCTAGTTATAGGTCTTTGTGCCAAATTAAAAATTGCATCTATGTTAAAATATCCAGTAGAAATGTGATATGTTAATGTGTAAAGTTTTATACTTTTCACTAACTTTTATATTAGTCAGACTCTTACACATATATAATATTTGCAATTACAATGCTGCTTGCTGGATAACATTTTTTAAAGCACTCCCAGTAGCTTCTGTCTTTCAGAATATGCGTTGTGCCACAGCTCATCCCAAAGGATGAATACACAAACAAAAATGCATCACAGTTTGAGTGAATCTAAGTCAGAAACTCTGGATGTTTTTTCTCACCATTTTATGTTATGTAAACTTCCTGAGGCAGCCTGCAAAGAGAACATTGTGAAGAAAAAATGGCGTGAAGAATGCACGCTTTCATTCCCTTCTTTTGAAATCTTTAAAAATAAATAAATAAATAAATCTACTTTGCCACTCTTAGAATCTTGAACCTAAGCAAAACTGGAAGTCAAGAGTTAGACCTAAAAATAATCTGCATCAGTTTAAGATAACTTTAATTTTTTTCCCTGAAAGCAGACACTAAAAGGGAAACGGGTAATGCCCAAGGTCCCAACAATATCGGTAAAGTTTCATGTATTTCAATCTAAAGCCATTAGTCACATTAACTGAAATGTTCTTTTATAAAATTTGTGTATCTTCATACCTAGTGTCTAGTGACCTCCGGCGTAGGCTTAGGCCCATGCAATAAAACTAGTAAGAGCACACTTCATCTTGAGTATTTAAATGCCTTTACCATTTTATCAGCCTTTGTATTGCCCAATTATCTTAAATTTTCATGCAGGCTATAATTTTTACTCATTCAAAAGTGTTCCATACTCTCAAAAGTAGTTTTCTTACTAATTTCTTAAAAGTATATGAAAATTATGATGCCTTCCCCTTTTTCACGAAATGTAAGTTTCAACCTGTTTTATCTTTCTTTGCCTTTTTAGCGGATTGGTATAACACAGTTGAAGAGGTCATTTGTATATAGAATCATTTGTGTAGTTCTTTAGGCTCACTAGAGTCTTGTCAGGGAGGAGGGCCATGAAGGAGGAAGAGGAGGGAGAAGGGCATGGAGGAGAGATGTCCAGAACTGGGAGGGTCATTAGCCCTCTGTATTCATTACTTCCTCGTTGCTGTAACTAAATACATGACAAGAAGCAACTTAAGGGAGGAAGAGTTTATTTTGACTCATGGTTTGAGGGGACACAGCCCACTTTGTAGGGGACAGCATGGTGGCAGGCAGTCCAAGGTGGCCAGAGTAGATGCAGGGACTCTACTTCCTTCCATCTTGGTGGGACTGTAAGCAGAGAGTGGACAGGAAATGGAACCAGACTGTAACACTCAAGGCATGCCTCCTGCCTTTATGGAGCTTGCATTTTAATGGGGAGACTCAGTCCAGTTGGAAGAGTTTGATATTTTTATGTAAACTGATCAGGCAAGGTTCCCACTCATAAAATAATCAGAAAGAAGTGAGAGAATAGTATTCTATATCAGTCAGCAATAAGTGCACAAGAGTTGACTCTCAAGATTATTCATTCATTAACATAAAGAAGAATTAACAGCTTATGTATCAAATTCAGTACTCACTTTATTTTACGTCAACTTTGGGGAAAATGAAGAACACCAAGGTGGTCCTGAGTATTAAATATGTGCTACAAAGAACCTCTTATAGTGCTGGACCATGGCACAGACTCAATGAAAGTTCATGTAGACTACCACTCCTGCATCCTCTCTTACTACTGCTAGTGACTGTGTTAAAAAAACACAGCACATACTTTCCTAGGTTCTTAAGGGCTGAATAAATTTACATTTGCAGTTCTCATACCAACATCCATCTTTGCTTTTATGGTTTATAAAAGTGTGTCTTACTGGGCCTGGAAAGATGGCTCAGTCGTTAAGAGCACTGCCTATTCTTGCAGAAGACGGGAGTTTGGATCCCAGCACCCACATGGAAGCTAACAACTGTCTATAGCTCCAGTTCCAGGAGATCTAATGCTCTTTTCTGTCCACTGGGGACATTGCACAACACAGGTGCATTTACATATACACAGATATAACACTCATACACATAAAATAAAATACCCCCCAAATGTATGTCTTACTGTTTTCTACACGTCTTAATTTAGGGTTAACCTTTAACACACACACACACACACACACACACACACACACCACACACACAAATCACTTGCATTTTTTTACATGTTGGGCTTACTAGAAGGTGGCAAACAATAGATGCTACATATTCTGTCCTCAATGGTTGTTTGAGGTGTCTTCAGTTTCCACTTCTCATCCATAGCTTTCATTGTGATGTAAGAACATCACTTTCACCCATAGTACCTTAAGATACAGGTTTAGACAGAGCCCTGACATCTCCATTACTTCCAAAAAGTCTTGTAAGATGAAGATCAGGTAAGGTAAAGCTCAGAAGCTTGTGTTCTACAAAGGTTGAGAAGTGGACTCCACTGATGAAACTAGCAGATTAGTAGTAGTAGTAGAAGAGGCAGTGGCAGTAGTAAACTGTTCAACTGTGCAGTCACTTTGGAAAGAAAGTGTAAGCACATTGTTTTTTCAAGTCTGTAAAATATGGTAAGATTATGACAGAACTAGTGTGTGCAAGGGGAAAATAATGCATAGAAAGATACTGATTAGAGTCAAACATGAATCTAGAGTATTGGGCGGGGAACACAGCATTAATGGATTAGGAAACTATCCTTGGACTCTCTCTATCAGGATGATGGTATTTTTTGTTGTCCTTGGAGTAACAAGTATTTCCAAAAGAGAAAGGAGAGGAGAGAGGAGAGAGATCTTAGGGGGTAGCAGTGAGCTGTTTTGCTTCTGTAGAAACTACAGTGGCTTGATAGACGATACACAGTGGATCTGTGTAAAAATCCCATTATTATCAAAACATTGTCCTAGCCAGTCTTTGATTGCTTTAGATGAATTGGGCGCACTAAACTGAATTTTACTTTTCTTGCTCTACCATGAACATTTGATTATTTTCAGGTCTGTCTCTGAGTAGCTGTCTGACCTTAAGCAGGTCAACCACTTTGGGCCTCAGCTTTCCCAGCTAAAGAATGAGGAATGAAATTAGATATTTTATTTTCTTTCTTTGTATGCATGAAAGGAACAGGTATGTGTGGTGCTGATAGATTGTCACCCTAGAAAAAGTGGAGGATTATCCATTCTGTGACCCATGAGTAGACTTTAAACATTTCTCCAAAATTTATGTTTATGGAGAATTAAATCATCCACAGAACAGAGTTGCATTATTTCTTTTTAAATGGTAACCACAGTTATATAATATGAAAGTCCATAGTAAATTAAGTATAAAAGGAAAAATATCAAGAACTTAACAAAGTGATTAAAGTTAATATCACCAGAAATTGGGTATATTTATCCCTGGACTACTTTGGTGGTATTCTTGCTCCCCAAATTCATAGGAAATGCCAAACAGGAATTGAAAGGCATTCTACAAATAATCAGCATGTTCTGTAAAAAAAAACTGTCAAGGCAGCTAAGGGCAAAAGCTGGCAATGTGTTTCACATTAAGGGAAAACAAAGAGATATGACACCTACATGTGACATGAGAGGTCATGAGCTGAATTCTGAAGGGATAAACAGCATCTATGCAGCAACAATCAAATATATTGTGTATGCTACATTATAAAATGTAGTATTATATAACATAAGTTACATAAAGAACATGAATAAGTAGGTCAGTTAACAAAGTTTGTATAAATTCTGTAGACTAATAGTATTGTATGAACACAATTTCCTAGTTTTGATTATTGAACTGTGGTTAGAACAGAGAATGTCTAGAGAGGAAAACACATGGAATTGTTTACCAAAATGGATTATGTCTGCAGTGTATATTCAGATGGCTCAAAAGAAAAAGCATAGATTGGCAAAGCAAACATGGTAAAATGTTAATATCTGGGGAGTGTGAGTGAATAATATGATCATTCTTTTTATTATTTTTATGGATATTTTGTGTTGCTGCACGAATTTATATGCACCAGGTGCCTGCAGGAGCCTGTGAAGGCCTCTTCTGGGCATTAGGTTCCCTGAAATTGGAGTCACAGGCAGTTGTGAGTTGCTATGTGTATCCTGGAAACTGAACTCAGGTCCTCTACAAGAGCAGTAAGCACTCTAAACTGCAGAACATCTCTCCAGCCCCGATATGACAATTCTTTGTTCCTTTTCTTTAAGTCTTAATTATTTTCGAATTTTTAAAAATTTGTTGGTATGGAGAGGGCCCTGTCTGCTAGCCAGGTCCAGGGGAACCCTAGGAAAATGGCATCGTCCTCTTTCTTATCAGTTCCACATACAGGGGAACCTGGTCACCGATTTGGGATATGTAGTACACTCACACATGCTGAGTATTTTGTATTTAAAGCCTCATTGTGATCTCATTTACATTTGCTTATTAATTCATTCATCCCTTTATTCAAAAAATATTTAGCATCTAAATTACCATTGCCAAACCTTGTGCTAGATGTTTAAGCTATAAAGTGACTAAAACAGTCTATTGAATAGGAGCATACAGAAAATAAATAACTTCGTAGATAATCACAGACATTGATAAGCCTTGTGAAGCCATAGAACTAGTTCCTTCTGGAGACAGTGAGGGAGAATACATCCCGCATCTCTGCAGCCTCTAGATGTCTGGGTGGTTCTTGGCATTCCTTGGCTTGTATATATACCAACTCCAGTCTGCCTGATCTCTTTCTGTCTGTCATCTTTTCACTTAGTAGAGGCAGTTGCATTGGATTTAAGGCCCATCCTAAAATGGGTGATTGCAGCT